TATGTTCAAAACCTTAAACATTTTAATTTCATGAGGGATAGAATGTTGTCTACAGGATTAATCATGACCTAAAATTACGAAAACACTGGGATAACTAGGATTAGTGTACTATAAGTAAAATAATGCACATATTATTTTCATTCTTTGCAACAAGTGTATTACTATTGTAAAACACTAAGGCCCGTCCACACGTGTCCGCAATTTTTGTGTCCGTATCCGCAAATTTTAAGAAAACGGATACGTGTGGACGGTGAAAACGATTCGAATACGCTGCGTGTGGACGCAAACATTTTCGTATCCGCAAAAAATAATTTGCGGATACAAAAATTTCTGGATACGTGTGGACGGGGCCTAAAATAGCAATATGCTATTTTAAAACGGAAATTTTATGAAATTTAACTCACGACTGAATTGAAACATGGTTCATACAGTATTCCTAAGAATCGATTCAAGGACTTTTTAAAACTCCCACTTTTCAACTAGTATTAAAAATAATTTTTTCTACTATTAACCATTATCCTATTAGCCATCATATTTGCTCTTAAGCAACGACTTACAATATTGTACCCTGCAATTTTTAAGGAGTTACCAAAAAATTTGCAAGAAAATTTTTGTTTTTCAAGAGCTTTAAAAGTGCCCTTGAAAATTTTTTTCAAATTAAGCACTTCTCCTTTCAGAAGTTTTTGGAAGTACCTGGAGTTCGTGGTGTTGATTGACTCGGTGCATGAATTGTCGTGAAGAATACCCTATGAATGTAATCCCACAAGGCATGTGGAAATTCATACAAAACCTATGTTGTATTAGTTTCAACAAAAAATATAATTACTAAACTGCACTGCTTTATGATTAAAAGAACTATGCACAGCGTTACATATTATTTGTAAACATTTGAGACAATGGCTCAAACAATTTCCAGCTTTATCATGAAAGAGGGCCTTGATAATAAAACTTTTTCTTTGATACTTGCAGTAGTTTTTTTTAATATCTTTAGTTCAGCTTTAAAAGGGTACAGGTACTTCTTCTGGATCCGTCATTGCTAGGTCAAACACCTTTTGACACCAGCTTGTAAAAGAATCTGAAAGAATATGAAGTTGTTAAGGTTTGAAGAGCTAACTTTATAGTCTAAAGATCCCAAGTTCCAGAATATATCCATACCCCACAATGGGGGGAATTTGTAAAAGGACCCCCCTACCCCCAGAAACTTCCAATTTTCTTCCATACAAACTCTGTAATTATGTTCTTTCTCTGATCCCCCTTCCCTCCAGAATTTCCAATTTTCTCTGTGGGTGGAGTATGGATATCTTCTGGAACTACACATTGCCATATATTATAGGTATCACACAATCCTTTGAGCTTCAAGAAACCACAAATGGATACCAATGCTCTAACACAAGCTATTAAATAAATAAATTTTAACAGTTAAACACAATTAGCCATTCAGAGTTGGAGGGAAAAAACTGTKTCAAGTTGGCAATGCAGTGCATTTTGGGTCTGTTTCAGGAGAAAATAAATGCCATCTGGAAAATTAATGTCACTTGTAAATTCCCACAATGCACTACAATGCCAATTTGACCCAGTTTTCAGTTTCACTTATCTCAACCTTTACACAATTTACACAAAAATTCAAGTCATGCAGCTAGTTTTTCAACTTACCAACACCATTGTTAAGCCATTTGGGTGATAAATCACTATATACAAAAAAGAAGTAGAACGGCAGACCAGCAAGGATGACAGCAAGTGCAATGAGCGAACCCATGGGATCGCCAAAGATAGGGGCAATGATTAGGTAGATGGATGCAAGACTCATGCCAACTGGAACAATTATCCACACCTAAAATGTCCAAAAAAAGTGATGTTTCAAATTTTTAAATAGAACTTTTACCTTGAACATAGTGTTTTCCSATTTCAGACCATGTGTCATTCCCAAGAGTATAATTTCTTTGTTTAATGGTTGTACATGAGAAGACACATGAATATGGATATACATGTAACGCAAAGAAAGAATCACACATGGTCTGAAATGGGAAACGTCTGCAGTCTGAATAGATAATATTTGCAGCATAGTAACATTATACAGCTTTATAGCAGATAAAATGGTCTTGGTCTTGATAGTTTATGATATCATGCTCAATCTCATCCAATAATTGATTCATTATACATTTCGTAAACTACATTGTAACAATAAAGATTTAATTCTGTTTTTAAAGAAATAGCAAACGTATTTTAAGCTCCATTTATGACCTTGAATGAGCTTGAAATGATAAATGAAATATCTGAAAACCTACAGATATTGAATTTATCATGTCGAGTCCATGGAATATCATGGATTGGCTGAGGGCTCTTGGCCAATGAGAGGCGAGATAGTGAGTAAAATGCATAATTATACTGATTAATAGCAAGTAGGTTAATGGTGATAGTGGTTGTACTCACTCTATATGGTCGTCGTTTGTTTGGCTGTTTGTATCTCAGCCAGAGTAGAGAAAAGAATGTTCCACCATAGAACAACCATGCCGCAAAGCTAAAGAAATCTACTAGAGTAGTAAACTTGCTGGAGTCTGGAATCAACATCACAATGGAAATCAATGTCTGAAATGAAAAAAATTACTTAGTAAGCATCAGCCGATAAAGACCTTGCACATCGACCCCCACCGATGACAATCTCATGGACGATGATGCAAGCATGTTTTCAAAGTGTTTTAAAGAGGATCACAGGACACACAGATAATCTGTGTCAAAAACATGCTTGCATCATTGTCCTGGCATCAACATCCTTGATGCCTGTCCATGCCCATCAACTGTTACAGTTGCAGATCTGGGATGAATTCAGAAGTGGTGGCTATAACCAGGAAAGCCAGTAAATAGTTTGGTCTTTAAATTTTATATTACTATTTCTACGTTTGTGGTAAAACACCCAATTCACCACCTACCGTTGCATTAGTATTTTTTTGTTTACTTACGGTAAAAAGTAGAGATGGTAATGGTGTGAACCTCTTGACATTGATCATAGCAAGTAGTGACGGCATAAGACCATCACGAGCAGCAACATACAACAACCTAAACAGGACAAAATATTTATCAGATGATACAATTATCCAGGAAATACCCATCAATATCCAGGAACAATAAATAAACTTTAAATTACCTTCCATTAGTGAGAACCATTCCATTGACTGCACCAAAAGTTGATGCCGCAACAAACAAAGGAACAATCCATGTAACAGGTCCAAGATAAAGATTACCAACACTCTGAAAAGTGAAAAGTGATAATTGGTTATGGTAAAGAATATGAATAGGATGCCAGCAGAGTGCTTGTAGGGTGTTACTAGGTGTCCGTAAAGTGTTGATACTGTCACTAGGTTATTAGTAAAGTGTAACAGGGTGTCATTAGGGTGTTGGTAGGGCATAAGAAGAGTGTTGGTAGGGTGTCGGTAGGATGTTGGTAGGGCATCAGTAGAATGTTGGTAGGTGTCAATGGTCATTGTTTAGATGCTGGGCAAATCAGTTTGTAGAAAGAAAAATTGTTTTTTGGTTTTATTACAGTGAAACTACTCCAACCAAGGACACTGAATAAATTGTCTACAAATAAGCCAATCACAAGTGGGAATCTGAACAACAGAATAAHATCTAAATTCAAAATTTGTYGCTAATCTATTGTCTAAGTACTCAAACACTATTGAATAATTTGTAGAAAATTTGTTGAGGTGGCATTGGTTGGAGTAGTCACACTGTAACAATGATGAACCTTCCCTACTCACCACAGCAACTGCTGGTGATATTAGGATTCCACTCTTGCCGAGAACAGTGATGTATGCAACATTTATGAGTAAATAGCAGACAGTGATGAGAGAAATACCAATGACAATTGCACGAGGCATATCCCTGAGAAACACAATAATACAGCAGATATTTCATAACAGTGAAAAATGTATATTTACAAAAGATCTAGTACTAGTCCAAAAGTTAATTTAACAACTAGAATTGCAAAGCAAAGCTTTTCTCTAGTGTTGGACTATTTTTGTCATACTTATAGTAGGATAGCCAATTCACCTTTTCGGCACTAGCTTGGATTGTGTAAAGGTCACCAAAAAGTTCGGAAATGGTTCTCCGATTTCCATACAAATTCACTGACTTTAAAGAGAAAATTTAGATAGATTTCTTTAATTAGCTACCTTAACACCAGTAAGAAAAGCTTTAATCGAGGTAGAAAAATGATTATTTACTTGTATTTAGAGAACTAACTAAATATTAACAAAGTAAATAGTTCATTCAAAGTCAGTACATTTGCAGGGAAATTCGAGAACAATGTCCAAACTTTTTGGTGACCGTAACACAATCTAAATCTATYATTTATACCCCGTGACAGCTAGCACTGAAAAGGTGAATTAAAATCCAATACAAAAATAAAATTATTTGTAATACTTTATAGAAAAAAAGGGGGGAATTACTTTTCTGGGTTCTTCATCTCTTCTGTGCAGTAGTTCAAGTTGTTCCTTTAAAAATAAATAAATAAATAATCAATTAGTGAATAAAAGCATGACAAATATTTTTAGGTGTTTAGGTAAAGATTAAAAATGTCAACAAAAAAACTTTTGATTTTCTTAAAAATTTCTTGAAAATTGGAAATGACTTTCAAAAATTGGGGTCTTTTCATCCAAGTGCCCCTTTAAAGGTATATTATACATTTTCACCCTTTACAAACATCGGACTGATCAAAAAATCTGGGTGCTGCTTCAGATCGAACCACTATATGATTTTTGTGGCTACTGCCTCGTAGAGACGTAGCCACTATGGGGCATTATGTCCCCCCCAGGGGGGGGGGGGNAGAGACGTAGCCACTATGGGGCATTATGTCCCCCCCGGGGGGGGGGGGGGGTACTCCCATATATGGACTATATGGGGATGTGTTTTTTTGTCATAAACAGGGTACCCCTTTTTATCCCAGCGGAACACCGCTACCCAAATCCTAGCGGAAACCCCCCTGGGGTCAAATATCCATTGAACTATTGAAATACTTAACAAACTCTACTTGCGTGTGATAGTGAGTACAGGAATTGTGCCCAAAACCCAAGGTAAACATGAATGAACTACCACTATGCTACCCTTGATTGACAATGCAAATGGTGTTCTGCTCACAAAGTATCAATAAAGTGACTTACCATCCATCGTATGCCCAAAGACCAATATAAAAAGCCAATCCAATCTTAGCAACAGAAAAGTAAGAGTCTTGAAAACTGTTTTCAAAATGTTCAGTTTTACCTGAAACAGATCAAACAACATGGGTTGAATTATACCAATAATATTGTCCAAGGATAAAACATTCAGGCATTACTGCTGTAACAGTTTAATATTGAAAACATAATCGCATGTTTTGGTAGATTAATAGGTATAGTATGCAATTATTGTAAGGCTGCAAACATTGTCCGAAGACTGGCCATTATTTTACTGCTGTTTTTGATATTCTGCAAACTCAGCAGTTGCTAGCTGCCAATGGAATTCAGTCTTTTTGCTGCTGTCAATCAAAATAATCAGTTGGTACCTTTTATATTTTTGACTGGCGCAGTTGAAAACCAATTTCACAACAAGCTGTTTCAATGTTGGAATTCACAGAATATCAAAAACTGAAGTAAGTCATGTGATGTGATCATCTCCCTCAAAACATCATAAGCTGCTGTTGTAAGCTCACCTCTACAGAGTTCCACAATACCAATAATGGTCAACATTGCAATACACAATAGTTTTGCATAGGTGAATATATCTTGCACACGGGTTGCCCATTTGACACTCCAACAGTTTATYCCTGTTATCACAACTAAAGAGAAAACAATTGTTGTCATCAGTAACAAAAAT